GGGGGGGGGGGGGGGGGGGGGGGGGGGGGGGGGGGGGATAATGGTATGTGCTTCAGAGTTCATTATATCTCCTAGGCAGAAGTCTAGGTTTAAAGGGTTGTCTTAAAGTAGCAAGTAATGGCACATATAAATCCCCGTTTCTAAGATACGGACATCTGTCCCTCTCTAAAATGAGTTTTTCACATGTACTTTATGTGGCTGGCTTGGAGTGTAAAAACTTGGGCTTTTTAATAGCAGCTCTCATTCTGCATAATTTTGAATCAAGTCCACATCCATTTCTGTGAGTGTGTGTGCACACACCGAGTTATGGCTGACCCTAACTGCACTGGCCATCTCTGCTGTGAGCTCAGTCACATATCAGGCCCAGGGCCCAGCCCATGCAGGGGAGGGGGACACAGCAGGGCCAGCCCGGCAGGAGTGGGTGTGGGATTTGTCTGGCTGGGAGAGACCATCGTGCAGTATCTGGAGTAGGCTCTCAGAGCCAGACATCTTCCTGTGCCTTGCCTGCATGCAGGCCCAGACTAAAGTGACTGTGCTTCTCCTGAGACTCACAACTCGTTCTTGTGTCCCTCCTAGGACTTGCCACCCTTTCTGAATCCTAGCCCACCTGGCTGCCTTCCCTAACCCTTGCCAGCCCCTCCCTGGGTGCAGGGTCTGATTCCTCTCTCCCTGGCCTTGCCCTGGGTCCTATTCTCAATGACTTGAACTTCCAGAATCATAACTGTCTTTTACCCTTCCCAGTTGGGCTGAATTAGGTCTTGCTGGGCCCCAGCCAGGTGGGCTAGGGTCATGACCCCTGAGGCTGGTGCCAGGGCCTCAGTGGAGTGAGTCAGAGAAGTGTATCAAGGCCAGTGTTCTTGAGGCAGAGGCTTTTAGCCCGCAGGCAAATCCCAGCTACTGCCATCACCGAGCTTATGTGCCAGGCGCTCTTCTGGGGGCCTTACATATATTCACTCCTTTGTTCCTCACTGCAACCCTGTGAAGTTGAGTTTGTTATCAGCATTTTACAAGAGAGGAAACCGAGGCACCCAGCAGTTAAGACTGCTTTGTGTAGTAGATGGAGCAGCCTGAATTCGGAGTCTCTGCCACCGCTGTAGTAGCGAGCAGGGCGGCAAATTGCTGCCCTAGGGCCAAATCTGACCCACTGCCTGCTTTTATGAATAAAGCTCTCCTGGAATGCTCCACACCCCTTTATTTCCATATTGCCTATGGCTGGCTGCTTTCGTGACAGAGCAGCAGGGCTGAGTAGTGTGATAGAGACCATATGACTTGCAAGCCTAAAATCCTACTGCCTCTCATCACTCCATGAAATTGATGCAGATAGTCCCATGCATGTGCCAATGTGCATTTTCCTGGAGAGTGGTCCACAGTTTTCATCAAATTCTCAAGGGGTCTTCAATCTCCCTCTCCTGCAAGAAAAAAAGCAACAACAAAGAAACAACACGACTGCAGTTTTAGGGAGTTTTGAAAACCAAACAGGGTAGCCAAATGCCAACACCCAGTCTGCAGCCCAGAGGTGGGGGGCAGGGCCAGTGGTCACCAGAATGGCTCCACCAGAGCCAGTCAGGAAGAGACAGAGAGGCAGAAGAGCTATTGCCACAGTACCTGCCGTGTAGATCTGGGGCTCTCCTTTATTGTTCATTAGCTGGTGTATGAGGGAAGCAGGGCCAAGTGGCTTCAAGGTCTGGGATGGGAGGCAGGGATTAGGCCCCTCTACAGCTGAAGGCTGCCTGTGGCCCTCAGGTGCACCTGCTCCTTGGAGAACCTGGATGGCAACCCTGCCCAGATTGCCCTGGGTGTATTCCAACGAAGTCTCAGTGCAATGTCAGGGCAGAAAGCTGTTGTGCTGAGGATAGTGTGGGCACATGGTAGGCTCCCAGCAAATGTCAGCGATTGCTACTTTGCCTCACCACAACCCTGAGAGCAAAGTATTAGAATCTTCTTTTTATAGATGGGAAAAACCATGATTGAACTCTTACTGTGCTTGCAGAATAATGACACCCCCCCACCCCCCAAAGATGTCCACATCCTAATCCCTGGAACCTGTGAGCATGTTACCTTACATGGCAGAAAGGGAATTTAGGTTGCAGATGGAATTAAGGTTATTAATTCAGCTGACCTTAAAATAGTGATTAACCTGGGTTACCCAGGGGAGCCTCATATAATTACAGGAGTCCTTAAATGTGGAAGAGGAAGGCAGAAGAGAAGGTCAGAGAGCTGTAATGTGGGAAGCACTTAACCCACTACTGTCCGCTTTGATGATGGAGGAAAAGGGCCATGAGCCCAGGAGTGCAGCAGCCTCTAGAAACTGGAAAGGCAAGGAAACAGATTGTCCCCTACAGCCAGCCAACACCTTGATCTTAGCCCAGTGAGACCCCTGCAGACTTCCTACTTCCAGAAAGATAATAAATGATAATAATAAGTAAGATGGTAAAGATAGTGAATCTTTAATAATAAATCATAATATATAATAATCTATAAATTATTATCTTTAATAATATTAATATTATATTTAATAATAAATCTTTAAATTATTACCTTACAGATATTAATTATCCGTAAGATAATAAATTTGTGTTAACTTAAGCCACTAAGTTCGTGGTCGTTTGTTTCAGCAGCAATAGGAAACTAATATGCTTACCGTGGGTCTGATGGTTTGCTAAGCACTTCACTGGCACCCATCACCTCATTTAATCTTTGCAACAAGCTTAGAGGTAGATATTATCCTCATTCAATAGATGAGCAAGCTGAGGTTCAGAGAGTTTCAAGAGCTTCACGAAGGTCACACACCCAGTCCAGGGCAGAGTTGACTCCGGAGCCTCTTGGGCTGGTTGACTGAGCCCGTCCTGGAGCCTGCCCTTGGCATCGCAGTGGGGCAGCTCTCTCCCTGCAGACCCTCTTGCCTTGGGGCGAGGTGCTCTGAAGAAGCCTCTCTGCTTCTCCACAACACTCTTCAGGTGCCTGAGGAAGTTACCCCAGATTTGCCTTTGCCACGATGAGTAAAGCCCCCAAGCAGAGAACTTAATGGTGTTGGGCCTGGGACTGTCAGGGTTCCCTCCTTCCAGTTAGTTGCAAGCCCTTTCCTGTCAGATTCCACTTCTTTCTGTTAGCAGCTCTGAGGATTGCTAGAAGAGAAAGCCTAATTTGGGGGGCCACTGGCAAAAGACCTTCAGCTCATGTTCTAATCACCTTTAGAAGAGAAAAAGAGGAGAAATACTCAACAGAATAGTTCATTTACTTACCATTGTTAGGGCTCTTAACATATCAAAGTGTTCTAAAAAACCTGAAAGTTGCGAGCCCCAACCACAAGTAGAAGCATAATGTCCTGCTTTGCCGGGCATGACAGAAGTAACACTACGATGTGCTATAGTCCCCCTTCTCCCCCAGGTAAAATACAAACACTGGCCCCACCTTACAGGACAGAAACAGAGGCCATGGAGTTAGGGGTTTGCCTGGTATCAGAGGTGAGAGCGGACCAGGCTCTCTGCCTCTCAGGCCAGCTTGTTTCCCATTCTCAGCATCTTGCTTTGGCTGGGACTAGGCACAAAGGCTGGGACTTGGACCTCAAAGCTGGGCACCTGGAAGAGGAGGGAGAGGGACACACCTCGCAATCTGTGGAGGCAGCAGATGGTGAGTGGAGGTGGGGAGGCTGGATGCTGCTGTTCTGGCTGTTCCAGGTGTGACCCCCTCTGTGTGACAGTGTAAATCCCACCATCATCAGCAGGGCTGGGATGAACAAGGCCCCCAAGCTCTGCAAACACAGCCTGGGCTTCTCAGGTGAGGCCCAAGCATCAAGCTCTTTGGTGGGAATAATGGTGACTTCTCACCAGCAGGAAGCCAGCAGGCGGGTGTTTCCTGAAAGCGCACAAAAACAATGTACGTTTCTGGACATTCAGTTAGCTCTTTTCTTTTTAACTCAAAATAAAGCATGCAACAAAGCATGTCAAGAGTGGGGGAAAGGCTTTCTAAAAATAATTGAAACATACATTTAAAATGGGTGAAATTTGTGGTACATAAATTATATCTCAATAAAGCTGTTTAAAAATAAGGGAGCATAAGAAATGGAAAACATCCTTTAACAGTTCTTACCTGGGATATTCAGCGACACTGGCCCTGTTATTTGATGCTCATCCTTCATCTTTCCAGAAGCTGGCTTCACAGTGACTCTCCATAGCAGCCAGATGTGCTGCCCCCATTTCACAAGCGAAGAAAAGTAGCTTGAAGGGGCTTTGAGTTTTGCCCAAAGAGAGCAAATAGCAGACCTAGCAGTGGGGAGAGAAGGGGTCCCCAGAACACCTTAGAAGGAAGACCAGGAGACAGGACTATCCGTGTCTGTCCCTCGAGTGAACTTCAGACACGGGGCCCAGTGTCTGTCCCAGTTTCTCCTGCCTGGTCTTTACTGGGTTCTGGATCTCATCACCAAATGCCCAAAGCTTCAGCTCTGAGCTTGGCCTGAGGGCAGAAACAGAAATAGCAGTGGCTATAGCCTCGCTGCAGGGCAGAAGCTAGCCCCCCCTCCCAAAGTTTTCCTAGCTGTCACCTCTGCCTATGACAGGGAGATACAGCAAACCAAGTAAAACCACAAGAAACAAGAAGACTTCACTGGATCCCTGGGGAAACATCCCTCAGGGTGCCCAAGCCAAGGGACAAGAAGCAGAGCTGTTGCTGCCAATGAGGGCACAGCCAGCCCGGGCAACAGGCTCGGCGATGTGAGTTGTGTCCCAGGGGGCTCTGTCTGCCCCCTCACAGGGTGGGACCAGTCCTGCTGCTCAACTGTGAGGCAGTGACCCCAAACCACTCTGCCTTCCCAGAGAAAAGTGCAGGGTAACCCCTCCTCTTGCTATGTCCTAAACCCGAGGAGCAGAGATGGGTGCTGGACTCTTGCTTAGGAAGAGGTCTGGGCTACAGCATCTCCTGCAGCTTCTCCTAAGGGCCACCGGCACCTCAGTTTCCTCCTGCAGCTATGGCAAGGGCTGGCAAAATGGCTCAGCTTCAGAAGATGGAGATCACCAGGGAGCCGGTCCTGGAGAGGGTAGGCAGTCAGACTGGACAGGGCTGGGCAGCGTTACAGTAGCTGTTTCGCTCCAAAGCCCATTTTCTTTCCACACTGTCATGCTGTCTCAGCGCCACCAAGATCTGGGGGCAAAAGCCTGTGGGGCCAGCCCTCTGTGTTGGCTGCCCACCGAAGCAGCCACGGCACACGCAGGCATTCTTCCTACTCTCAGCATCAGCAGCTTCAGCAGCCTCTGAAGCTTTGGCAGGGTCTCCAGATGTGTTCCTCTTGCCTGGCCGATTAGCCGTGCAGAACGCTCAGAGATGTGGCTTTTGTTGCATTAATTGCTCAAAGTTTTGCAAGCTCTTTCCTGCCCCACTTCCTTCCTGTCTCTGTGAATTAGCATGGAGGCTGTCAGGATGTGTGTGTCTGTAAGTCTCCACTCTCATTAGTGGGCTGTGTGTCAGGCACTGTGGGCATATCTCCAAGACTATATTGTGGCATTTCCTGAATGCCCCATGTGATTATTGGTAGAACTTTCTGGAAAACAGGTCATGCACAATGAGGACTGGGCATTACCATGGGGAAGCAGACAAGCTCAATGAGTGGGTCTTCAGAAACCCATCACTCTTATTTACAGGGGCCCTCCTAGGAAGGGCTCAAGCAAGTTAAAGTCAAAATATACTTGACAAACAACCAGCAAGGCACGGGCACTAACCAATTTGCAGGAATGCTGGCCGCAGCACAGAGGAGGGTCCAGGGTCTCTGGCTGGTGAAAGGATCTGGAACATTCCAAGAAAAGGGCCAGAGCAGCTGGGGTAGCAGGGGCCTTGGAGGGACTCTGGGCAGCAGCTGTTTACCACTGCTCTGAAGGTGTTTCAATAGTTTAACAACTGCTGTGAAATAGTGCAGACCAACTGAGTAGCTTCCCACGGCTCCTCAAGCCAGGTGTATCGTCTTAGCCTGTGATATGGAGATGAGACTGTGGTCAGGGGGTGTGAGCTCAGCAACAAGACCCTTATTGTCTCTGAGCTGTAGTTTCCTCTTATGTATGGCGGGAATGATCAAACCTACATCCCAGAGGAGACAGGAAGGCCTGGCCTCACCACATGGCAGGGGCAGTGCAATGGAACTGGGATACGCTGCACTAGGGGATCAGCTCCAGGGCAAAGGTTTTGCAGTAGACACCCATAATTGGCCAGTAGTTGAACCTCAAATAACGCACTTGGTCACTCTGGACAGTACTTTTTTGTGACGTTTACCATGTCGGGCTTTGGGATGCATGCTTGTAGGTTAATAAACTATATCCAAATAATATGGCTAATCCCATGCCTTTTGGTCTTGCAGTCTTCATTGTGGGTTCTTCCTGCTCCGGTCCACTGGCCATCTCAGGACTGCCGAGGCCTGGAGCTCTGGTTCTGTTTCCCTGGCTTCAGATCTGCTCAGCCATCTGTTCAGTGTCCCTGAACCACGATAGTGCTCTTTCCTGCAGCGGCATCTTTGCTCTCGTGGGCCCCTCCTTTGGGGTGCCCTTCCCTAGATCCCTTGCAGATCTCATGTATTCTTCATGGCCTAACTCAAGCATCCCCTCCTCTAGGAAGCCTTCCCTGCACCCCCTTTTCTCTTGTCTTCAGGGACCCAATGGCATTTGGTATAGCTTGATCAGAGCATTGATCGCATTCTCTGTACCTCTGCCTTTTCCACTAAATTGGACACTGCAGGAGAATATGGAACATGTCTGAGTAATCCTAAAATTTTAATAACCAGCAGTAGGCCTGGCACAGAATAAATGCACTTAAATATTTGTTGCTTAGCTGCCAAAGGGGTGAGCACCCTCTGTGGGCAAGGCTGAAGGTGAGCACAAGGGACATGCTGTCATCAGGAACCCCTCCGAGCAGGGCTGGCCCAGCCGCAGCTACCAGGTGCTGGCCTGGAAAGACACTTGGGGGTGAGCAGGAATGATAGCCCCCTGGGTCCTTTGGGGAGAGTTTCCCTGAGAAATGTCAGGTGTAAGGAAGAAGTCAGGTCCTTTTCCTGTGTATGATAGAAGTGTCACGCTTTGCACGGACCAATCAAATGTACCTTTTCAAAGTGTGGAGTGATGAGTGTCCTATCAGGGGAATCCTCACCTCCGTCTCTGATATGAGAATTTCTGTAACAAGCACCTTGGAGACAGAGGAGATTCAGAAGTAAGGACAGGCACCCATGAGTCTGCCGAAGCTTTGGGGACACCCGAGTGCTGGGCAGGAAGAAAACACCTGGCCTGACTCTCTGGTTCTCTGTGGCTCTGTGGTTTGGCCCGGACATTCCCTGAAGTCATCTTAGATCAGCTTTCTGGAGACACTGGGTCTTCCTACCTCATTACCCCTGTGCCTGGGTTCCTGGAAGGAGGGACATTTGGAGCCATTGATGGGCTTTTTCTGATTCAGAGCCCTTCCAGGTGGGAGCAGAAAAAAGGAGAGAGGGAAGAAACAGACACAGCCTTCCTCCCTCCTTCTCTTCTTCTCTCCTATTTTTGGAGTAGTTACTCTGTGCCCAGTTCTATTCTTGATGCATGAGAGATGCCAGGTGGTTCTCTAATATATAAGATTTTCTAAGGAGAGGAGTGGAGGTTGTCTACCAGTGACCATATTCCATGGAACTACCTGGGAAGCTTCTAAGAGTGCACTGCTAGTCTGTGTAACTGTACACAGTCACTTGCTTAAGTGAACTAGGTAATTAACCTAGTATGTAACTGGAATCTGCCCTGGCTGTACCTTCACTGGCTTCCTGCTCCTGCCTGCTGACACAGGACTCCAGCCCCCTTTCAAGTCCCTCTGAAGGATTCTGGGGTCCCTCACAGGCAGGGGCTTTCTGACTCCCACCGTGACCTGCTGCTACTGCCCCAGTCATTCATTTCACTAATACTGCTTGAGCACCTACCAGGTGCCAGATGCTGTTCTAAGTACTAGGGATTCAGCAGAGGACAGAGCGAATCCCTGACCTCACGGCACTCACATTCTGGAAGGAGTGACAAACAACAGACAAGACAGATGGAAAAAATATATAAATACTGGGGGGGGGGGGGG